AGAAGGCTAGCATGATTTGCTTAGAGCCAATCTCGACTTAGTAAAGCTCCATAGGTGGAAGTATTATCCATAATAAAGAAAGCTAGCATGATTTGCTTGGAGCCCAAGTCAACCTCCAAGGGCAATATCCAATGAGTTCTAGTGATGGCTCCAGAGAAACTGGAAACTGTTAGATCTGTGCGGATAAGATCCTCCTCATTTCTACATTCCCTTTCTATTTGCTTATACCGCAACACATTGACCATAGCTCATCCATCAATCAAAGCCCTCTTGAAATGTACTCCCTCCAGATAAGCAGTTACATATATAAGCTTGAGATGGTTAGCTAAAGCCAAGCTCAGGCAATTAAAGACCATTATGTCTGAATAAACTCTCTTGGGCTCTCTTTTTGTGAGCTCGAGCAAACCTATTCTGCCCAACTCCTATTTTCCTGCTTCTTCAACACTAACATGTGTCATCATATGTTCTATTGCCAATTAATCACCCTCCATTGTGGTAGGTTGATCATGCTTAGGACAAAAATGGCAGATAGAACAAATGTCATGTTTCCATGGAAGTTGCTAGGTTCAGGTAAGTCCTCATTCTTGTTCCTATTGTGGCCTATGAATTCATCTAACCAGGCCTATGCTTTTTTTTGGCAGCATTAGTTTAAGTAGCGCTTCCTTTTGAGTTATGCCAAAGTTTGGCATTTTTCCTGGAACTTCGCAAAGAGTATCGACCAACAATGGTGAGGGTATCCCCCTTTCAGGCGAGATAGTCCCAAAACATATTGGCTATGGGCTCCATCTTGGTGTTGGTATCATTACCATGTCTCCCTAAGCTCTCCTCAAGATTCTATACTTCCCAGGTGAAGGGTTTTGTGGCACATGACCTCATTCCCCCTCTATTTTGTTATTAGCCTTTTCTACCTCCTTTTTGGTTCTCCAATGAAGTTGGTTTCTTCCCCCATGAGGTATTTTTTCAAACTTCACATTTTCAGAGGTTTACGAGGCAGTGAGGACTTTTAATGAATTCATGTGGCCTTTGTGCTACCTCTAAACTCTCATGATCATAGAGGCCCTTATTTCTTTGACAGGACACCTATCTTTTCCAATCATGTACCATTTCTGCCCAAGTCGAGCAGGACTCTTTTTCGTGATTCAATTCACTATCTTCTGTTTTACTCTGACATCTCCACTGATACAGCTTGGCTGGGATGGCCTCATGTCCACCCATTTTGGTATTTGGGCTTCTCTGTCTTTGCCTTCTTAAGAGGCTTCATAATTTTTGAACACTTCTGACAAGCCCTTTGGTTGAGAATCTCCTCCCAACCGTTGGAAAACATTTTTGGATGTCTCTTTCTCAGCTACCTGCATAATGCTTCTGCGAGCTTCTTGTTCTTCTTTCTTCTATCTTATGATCAATTCTTGATTAATAATGGCTCCTGATGCTGGCACTTCTAACTCACATTCACATTGGCACTTGCTACAAAACACCAGCCCTTTAACTATGACTGATTTAGGCTTCTCGGACAACTTTATAGTTCCTTCAGTAGGCCTATCAACTTGCCTCCTTTCATCCTTTACTTCCCACGTGGCTTTTCCTTTCTCTTTTTCCACCCAAGTCAAGTTGATCATGCTTATTGGCGCTTCTGGGAAAGGATCTGTGTCAATCATTATATTGGCCTGAGATTTCTCCTACAACAACTTTCCCTTGATTATGTGGTCTTGTACCCAATCCCTGAGCTAGACACAGTTGGCTATAGAGTGGTTAAAAGTGTAGTGTAGCTTGCAATACTTTTTCCCTCTCAATTCCTCGGCTTAGGCAGTTTTCTAGTGCTATCGAGCACAATCACTCTTACCCGTACCAACTCTTCATAGATTTCTGAGGCCTTGGTTAAATTAAAAGAATAACTCTGTTATTTAGAGGGTTTCATAAGGACAAATCCACCATCATTCATCACCACTTTCTAATCCTTGATTGGTGGAACTACCCCTTCACTATTAAAGGTTTGAAGGTAGTCATCTCTGCCGCACACATGTCCACCCTTTCTCTTCCATGCTCATTACTTTCTTCTAGCTCTGCCTCTTCAAACTCTACTTGGTGAATTGCAGCTTTACTTTTGTAGAAAGGAGGCACCGTAGATGAGTGTTTCACTTGTTGTTCTTCAAGTAACAGCTTCTCATACTTTATGGCCGCAATTACCAATTCTTGCAACTCATTGAATTGTACATCATAAAACTTTTTTCTCAAAGGCAGCCTCAAAGCCTTCTGAGCAATGGATATGAGTTGGGCATGATTAATAGGAATTGGCACCTCATTCTTGTCCTTCTAAACTTCATCATGAAGTCTTCAGGTATACTTATGTTCATATTGCTTCACCTCCATTAAGTCATTAATAGACATCTCAGGCTCCATCTGGTAGAACTGTTCATGAAAAGCTATCTTCATTTGCCCCCAGTTAGCAATAGAACTGGGGGGCAACAAAGAATACCATTAAGATGCTAGACCCACCAACAAGTTCCTAAACAATCTTAACTTATAATTAGGATCTCTAGAGGACTTGAAAATGTGATCTCTAAAGGACACACTGCCATTTTCTCCACTAAAAGTAAGGAATGCGGGCATTTTGAAGATGAGTGGAAAAGGATTCTGCTCATCAATATACTCTAGGTATGGTTTCTGGTAGGTGATCCTGAACAACGAGCAAGCTTGAGGTTAAGCATTATGGGCCACCATCCTTCTTAACTCAGCTAACTTATCTCTGAGCTGCTGGTTAGCTTTATTATTGTATGGGGTATGTGGGGCTCCCAATTTTTCGAGCTACAATCATTGCCCGAGAAGGTTTCCTTCTTTGGGTCGGCCTGTCTCCACTTGGCATCCCCTCCCTTACTGGCCAATGATGAAGGCCTATAAGGAGGAGGCTTGTCTGCCTTGGTAGGCTTGCCTTTTCCATTGGATCCTTCGATTAACTGGGGCATCCCATACTTCTTTCTTTCTTGCCCGCTCTGCCCCCTGCTATCTAGTGAAAATAATAGAGGGTTAGGCAACTCTGCTTCTAGGATCTCCTCCAACACTAGCTGACTAACTCCAGATCGTTCCTTGTTTTTTCCCTTATCCCTCTTTTCCTCAAGAAAAGGAAATAGGGGGATAACTAGTTCTTTATCAGGGCTAGCCTTTCTCATCACTTCCCTAGCATAACCATTTTTTGGAGTAGAGTACTCCATATCTAATCTTCTTTGCAGACTTCCTGTTAAGGAACAGAGTCTTCTTACTTCTCATCTAATTTCCAGAGTGATCTTCTCCATACTTTTCAGCACTTGTACCATGGTGGCTTGCAAATCTTCATTGGTTACATTTCCTCCTGACTTCTTGGATAAAGTCGAACTCTCTAGAATAGCTAGTCCTTGCAGGGAAGGAAAATCCTCTAGATGATTTGTCATGCTCAATCTTGGTAGACACTAGGGTGGCCGTATTCTGTGTTCCACCTGAAGGTTTTCTCCTTCTTTCTTCTTCTTGGCATACAAGACTATGAATGTCCAAATTATGTTCAGGCAAAGATTTCTTTGGAGAGGGATCCTCGGACCTTAGCACAACTCCCCATGGGATTGGCATTTTGGATGTGTAGTCAGGCTCTTACTTGTTGATGTGCTACAAGAAGAGGACAAAGTTAGTTCTGAAAGGTGCCTTTGTGGGGCTTTAGGTGTAGGCCTTGAGGCTTGCAATCAAAACTAACTAATTGCTAGGCGTGCCACTGCTATCTTAGTATAGCAGATGTAGAACAATAGTGTTTTTTGTCGATTACTTGCGTCCCAAGTTACTCGAACTTCTTGTTATCAAAAGAGTGTCGTGGATGGGTTAAGTCCACATTAAGTTCTTTTTCTTGCCTTGTAAATAAGGACTTTTAGTTCATAGTCTTGTATGTTCGAATGAAGGGAGTCTAGAGCCCTCTAAGTCATTTACTTGGTTCTTGATTGATTTTAATGAAAGCGTATCAATTAAAATGACTAGATCCAAATACAAATGGGGCTCTTAAAGTAGGAAAACTGATGGAAATAACTTGAATACATACTGGAGAATGCATTAAGTAATAGATCTACAAATTCAGAAAACAAACAAAGAGCTTCGGGCAAGATTTCACCTTGTCTGTCAAGGTTAAACTTCCTGCAGTCACTTCTCTTTGTGTTAACAGGGGTTTATATGCTAAAAATAGATGGATGGTAAACAAGTTTACATGAGGAAATCGATACTACAATGGTTGAAGGTAGCAGAGCCTTAAATTAGAGAAAGATAGGCTTTCTAAGGAAATCTAGACAAGAGATAACTTGTCGCTAAAACTGACTGAATCTGGGTTGATTTCAGCTTTTGGAAGCAAATCTGGCTTGAGAGTAGAGTTTGTATGTTTGTTTGTTTGTTTGATTGGTTGAGTGTTGTTATCTCTAGGGCCTCTTCCTCCTTTTATAAGCAAATTAGCCCGACTGCTATAACTTTGCTCTTGCCCAAAAGCATCTGAAGGGTAGTGAGTCATCAGCTTTTTACTTGTAATGCCACTAAAAAGTGTTCTTTGGCTAGTAGTAGGTTAATCTCCATCACTTGTCACTTCAATGGTAAGCACGTGGCTTGCTTTTTGGCTGAGAAGGCTTCATTTGCTTCTAGGCTTGGTGTTGGGCTTCAGGCAAGTCTCCTTTAATTAGGTATTCTTGGGCTTTTCTTCATCTAAGTTCAATGTTCAAATATTAACCCAAACACATGCTTCTCAATTGTAGTGATGCCCCAGAAGACTATGAAAGATGGCCTCGAAACCTTTTTGGAAAAAGGACGAGAGAGAGAAGAAGAATTACCTCGATGCATTGTTTTTCTTTCGTATAAGCAAAGATGCGAAAATAGAACAATTCCATTCAGTTTAAAGACAAAATTAGAAACATGGTAAGAATTCAAGTAAGGCGTGCACCTTGTAAACTATTTCACTTGGCATAACATATAATTTTCTTGAGGAAACGTCCTTCTGAAGAACATATCTTTTAAAGGGCAGATATAAAAGCATGATGATGCCAACTCCCCAAGCTAACCAGCAATAGGGATATAGAAAGCCATATAACAGTGTCATACTTAACGATATTCCTTGCAAGCTCTTCGAAGAAGGCTGTGTAAAGTATTTGCTCAGAACAGTCTGCAGTGTCAATATCATCTAACTCAGATGATTCAGCATAAGGAAGTAACCAATCCTTGGATGACTGAGGCTCAGATATACCGGCTGTATGACCCATCAACATCTCTTCCAACTCAAAACCTTTAATGGGAAACATACATAATTATTATTAGCATCAAATTCCAAAAGATGTCAACTTTTTCATTTGGGTGAAATGTTTCTTTCTTAACACCATAATTGCTGAAAGCCCAAATTTTTTTATAAGAATCTGAATTGAGAAATGATGATAAATTAGGACCAAAAATGAGATAAAAGGGTTGCAAACTTGCAATGCAGTATAAGACAATGAAATTATTTGCCGAAGGAAATTTCTTCCAGCTCAAGGAAAAAACATACACAAAAAAGCATTTTTAAAAAGTGGTTTCTTCTAATCCCTAGCTCTTGTCTTGGTTAAGAGAGGCCATCATATTCTGGAGGAAGACGGTAGCAAGGGAGTCCGACTACTACTAGTACTAGTACTAATGGAGGAAGTAGCAGTACAAGTCGCAATGTTTAAAATTTTTGAGAAAGATGAGCATTTTATAGCTTGTTTGGTCAGCAAATGTAATATGGGAAATTAGCTACGCTAAGCTAGTTTTGTTTGTAATTATCTACAATTGACTAGTTATTGGGATTCATATTGATTTTACTTCAATTAATTGTGAACGTATTATCAGAGCAAATTAGTTTGTTAAATTAATTTTGTCTATTTGGCTAATGACAATGAGAAATGTCTTTGTTTTTCTTGCTGGATCCGGTAAGAGGATCATATTAGATGAAGTTTATGAAAAGCTTCAACAGGGAAACTCCTTTCAAGCATCAAAACTTAACATTCATTGATCACCTAAAGTTTGCACCCACAACGGAAGTAACAATCGTTGAATCATAGTTGCAGACACTCTACTGTAGAAAAAAAGGTGCCCTGCTGCTCTCTGGGCATTCTTTATTTGCATAATACAATCCACACATAATACAGTACTAGCAGTCTAGCATGATGATCTAATTTCAGGGGTAAACTTCAATAAGAGATCTCAAACCGAGCATATGAGTGATGTTATAATGAGAGAATCCAGCAGCCAAAAAGATCTTCTCCCATTCTGATTCGCTACGCTCTTTGCCAGTGATGGTGGACATCATCAACATATCGAACATGAGTTGGGTTTCAATTGATTTCTTGTCCATTTTCGTCTTGTTATCGCCATACCCCACAACTATGTCTATGATGATAATCTTCTTCTTCCTTCCCTCATTTTTGTTCAGAAATATTGCTTCTCTACATTTCTTCAATATCTGCACGCTTTCTTCATCATTCCAATCATGCAGAATCCACTAAACAAATATAGATCATGAATCACATATATTCAATTAGTCACAACATTTACCCAAATTAATCTAGAGGATCTGGAAACACAACTACATCAATAATGCATACACACAAAATTTGGAACATACTCTATTAGGATCCCATTATTATGGGGTTCCACCTGATTAGATTGTATTAGCAAATGTGTCAGTTTTGTGTGTCTGATGAAATATAATACACTACCTTCTTACAGGTAACAATTTGATCTTTTAACAATTGATTTGAACTAGCTAGCTAGAAATTCCAAAGACAACCAAGGATGAGATAGTTTACTAGCAACAATGTATTGATTAGGAAATTGGTTATGGAACAACAAAGATTAAGATAAATAATTGTGCGCGTTAGATATATTACCTTGAGCAGAATTGCATTGGCTGGAGGTATTTCCTCAAACATGTCTCCTCTCACAAATCCCAAATTGTGGGCCATCCCTTCCAAGTCAGCCACCACATGTGGCTGGTCAAACACAGTGCAGTTGATGTTGGGAAATGCATTGGCAATGGCCTTGGCCATTGTTCCTGTACCCCCTCCAACATCCACCAGGGATTTCAAATCCTCAAAGACTCCTCCACACTCTCCTACCACCACCCCAGCGATAAGCTTGGAGTCCGCCTCCATTGCTTCATTAAACAAGTCACCAAACCTCGGTTTCTTGGCACTCAATTCCCAAAAAGGCATTCTATTTGCCACCTCAAATGGTGTACATGGAACTAGATCATCGCCACAATTCATATGTAACCAATTACTCATTGAGTGAAATGGGTCTGTAATTACCGGATCAAGTACCATGAGCAGAAACGGTGTGGTGTTTAATGGTCCGTCTTTGAGAAAAAGCCCGGAAGCTGGTGTTAGGCTATACAACACAACAGCTACTTCTTCCTCCGCATCGTCACGATCATGATGAACATGATGATGCTGTGCAAAGAAATCGGAGTGAACGAGGATCCGCATGAGGCGTGAGATGAAATGAGCTTTCGAAGGGTGGACATTGAGCCCGGCGATGAGCTCGGAAAGAGAGATGGGTTGGCCGTGGTTGTGAATCACGTCTGGGATGCCTAGTTGAACTGCACATTTGAGTGACATGGAGTTTATGAACTGGAACATGTGGTTCCAAACATGTGCTTGAGCTCCAAGATCCTCATAGGCTAATAGCACCCACTTCACCATTACTCAAACCCATGTGTGTGTAAGTATCAAGTATACAGCTTCGAGAATATTATGATTGATTCTTCTCTTGCTATATTAATTGTGAAAAAATGGATAGGTTGGATCAGTTTATATAGCACAGCTTACATACACAAATTATGAGAAAAATATATAATATTCGACACTGTTCCCATAGTACTGAGCCTACTGACGTTTCATCTTCCATGCACAGGTTAAGCATGCTTTCTAATAATAATAATAATAATAATAATATAAAAATAATAAAATAATAAAAATAAAATAAAAAAGGGGTGGGGAAGGAATGATTAAAGATTTGGAAGATAACGGATGAAGATTGTATATATAGATTCGTATAGATCGTGCCAAACGGAAACTGCGAATTTAGCTATTATGTCTGAGATTTTATGAAATCTCAATTGTAATGTTTTCATGGATAACCATGGCTAAAGTACACTGTTTCATTTCTTTGTTATCCTTTACAGATTATCTTGAGAAAAAAAATGATTCGATTTGGAAAGCTTTTAGTCATTCATATGAATCAAACAAATTGATAGTTCATCATGAGGTATTATTTGTTACGTTGGTTTGTTTGACACATATGGAAGGGGAAGGGGTCTCCAAATTGAATAACTTATCCATAAATGATCTTTAGTAGGGGTGGATACAGTTTGGTTTGGTGCGATTGGTGCGGTTTTGAAGCTTGAACCAAAATGGAACCAAACCATTAGGTTGCGGTTTTGTTCGGTTTCAAACCATTTGTAAACTAAAAGCACTATGCTATTAATATAACCCAATTGGGCAAAAAGAAATAAATAAATCATGATCACCATACTAAAATTCAGTTTGAAATAAAGTTCGACATCAAAATGCCTTATTGCATTACTTTAGTAAAACCCAATTGAAAAAAGTTAAGTTTACCATACTAAAACTAAAATTAAAACAAACTTCAACATCAAAATGCCTTATGGCAATAGTAGTACAACCAAAGAAAATAAATTGTTCATGCAATTCAACAAAAAGGTCTGGTGTTTGAACTTTCAAGTAGCTACTTTGCATCGTTCAACCCTTTATCTTTCCTTAACCTTTTCGACACTTACTCTTCAAATGTTTAGGAAGCCTTTGAGTTTGTGAATGGGCTTGAGAAGGCAATACTTAGAAAGACCTTGGTCTTTGTGCAAGTGAAACTGTTGGATGAGAATCTATTGAACCTTGTGAACTAGAAGCCTGAGATTGGTTGGAGCTTATTGTTGTGGTTGTGAATTAAGAGTAAGAGAGTCGATACTTGAATTCAAGTTGGCCAACTCTATACAATACAGAAACATAAACAATATAAATTCCATTAGTTGTTATAAACTTTAAAAAGCCTAAAAAAGTAACAAAACACAATGAAAAAAAAAAATTAAGAAAGCCTACAATATAAATTATCTAATATTGGTTTGAGTTAAATACTTATTTCATTTTAAGGTTTCGGTGTGATTTTATATGTTCAAACCCGAAACCAAATAGTTTTTCCATTTTGCAATTCGGTTTGGTTCATGTTTCAATTTTGGTTTTCGGTTCTAAGTGCCCACCCCTTTAGCATATGGTAAAGAAAATAAACGATTCCAACTATAATGATTAAAAAATGAATGATACAAGAATTTTTTTTTTTTTTTTATGTGTGAGTAGCTAAGTATCATCCTCAAATGACAAGTAATATATAATAATATTATTAGAGAAATAGCTTTACTTGGTCGTTGCAGCACAACTAGTAATATACTAAATATGGGTTAGGATGAATAGGTAAACTTTTTGACAAATATTACTCCCCAACTTTCCAGCATTTAGATATTATAACATCCAAGGGTCTTATTTAAGAGTGAGGTAAATTACTTTTAATCAATAAATGACATAGATGATAGCGTGAATTATAATTAGGACCTTAATTTGGATGTTACAAGATCTACAGGCTAGAAAAGAGTGTAAAAATATTTATTAAAAGTGTAATTAAGTACAAAGGTCACATAAATCATGTAAATATAGTACAAGGGTCACATAAATCATGTAAAATTGATTCGGGGAAACATGCCAATATTATGAAGGTCACATGAATCAAGTATAAGTGTAATTAAGTCATTATTTGGTAAAAAAGTGGTTAGTTAAATGGAATGCATGTAGCTAGTGCAGACCACGCAAGCAACAATTAAAACATGCAGAATAAGAAATTTTTCTTCAATCATTGCGTTTTAGGTTCAAAGCATCACTTTCGCACAACTTAGAGTAGTTAAATATGTAATAAAGAATTATAATTACAAGCCATTTTTCCAAATGCATACTATTTATTGACTACAGATTTGAAACTTTTCTTGCACATTATAGTGATGTGAAAGCACTATGTATATTGTATTGGATATTCATAGATAGGCACGGAAGCCTCTCAAACAAATTGAATTGTTCGAAGTCCAGCATATATGATTTTGTGGAGCATATAAGGTTCTAGATCTACATCGGTACACTCAGAAGGACCCTCAAAAATTGATCACATTGATACTTCTGCCACATACTATCTTGTGGTATGACGACTGTATTCTCAAAAATTGATCACTTTGATACTTCTGCCACATACTTATCTTGTGGTGTGACGATAATATTAATTAATTCAATATCATTAGCCACTACATAATTGCCACACACTCAACATTATGATGTTTCGGAATGTCTAATATTCCAGAACTTTTAAACCTTTTTTTAATCATAAACACAAAAATTAAAATCCAAAAATCACAAAAATTAAAACTAAAAACTACACTATGTTGCAGTCATATTTAACATAGGAATGTGATTATGTAAATTCTAGTGTATCTAGGGATATCTTTTATATTCCTTTTAGTAGTCTAATTCCTATTAGAGTTGTAATCCTATAAGGGTAAGGATTTAACCTATCATACTACTATAAATAAAGGCACAATGGGGTGATACAACACACACCTCATAATTAAATCTCTCTCTTCTCTCTCTCACTATCGCCGACCTCCCTCTCTCTATTCCCCTAAAATAGCTCAGTTAAATAGGCCTACAACATGTTATCAACACGCTCTTGCTGGAAGCTAAGGAACTGAAGGATCGTAGGAGGATGCTCTTTTCTACCAAATTCAAAGGCTTTTATTTGTTTTCTGTCAATCAGGTGCACTTAAAATAAATGGAGATATTTGAAACGTCCACGAAGCATGAAAACATTCCCCATGATGCATGAACTCCTCTATATTTATATTTTCCTTCCGATATATATATATATATATATATATTATGTTTCATATATCTGTCAATATATATATATATATATATGTTTCATGCATTACGCAATTATATTGTTATGTGAAATTTGTGAGTCAAAGCATATAAATAAATTAGAAGCAATTTGGGTTTTTCAAACCCTAGAATATTCAAAAAACAACAAAAACAAAAAAAACAAAAGCATGATTTTTTTGCAGCACCGCCACACCACTGTGGCACCATGCCAAACCACCGTGCTAACCCAAAGCCCAACCGCGTGGGGAAACGGTGTTGTATTGACACCTGGACAAGGCACACAGCCCTTTGGGCTTGCTACCGTATTAGGAACCAACCGGGCTCCGACCTGGCTTGCATAACCCACGGGCTTGAAGCCTCGGTCCAACCCAAATCCATAATCTACAAGCCTTTGGCTTGTTGGGCTTGCTACCGCCCCGACCTGCATGTACCGCAGCTAGCCCTACAGGTTAGGCTTGATTTCACCACTCTAGAAGTATCTGGAAGAAACTACCTGAAGTGGGTTCAAGACGTGAAGCTTCATCTGACTGCAAAAAGTATTAGAGCCACCATTAAGGCACCTACCGATGACAAACATGTCGAAAGCTCATAAAGCTACTGCAATGATCTTCATTCGAAGACACATCCATGATACTCTACAGACTAAGTACCTCGGGGAGGAGAACCCACACATCCTCTAGCTTGCTCGGGCCAACTGTTTCGATCACTAGAAAGACATTTACTTGCCTAAAGTAAGACACAACTGGCAATATCTTCGCTTCTAAGACTTTAAGTCCATGAATGAATACAACTTTTAAGTTTGTAGAATCTGATCACTGCTAAAGTTTCGTAAAGTGGAATTAATCGAATCAAATCTCCTGGAGAAGACCTATTCGACCTTCCATGCCATCAATATTGTTCTGCAGCAACAATATAGGGCACAAAAGTTCACCAATTTTTAGATTTGATCTTTATTTTACTTCCAGCTGAAAAGTAAAACTAACTTTTGATGAAAAATCATCAAGCTCGACCCACTGGCTCGAACACCGTGCCTAAAGAGCATGCGACCAATTTTAGCAACCACAAACGACACAAGAATCATCATGGTCGTGGCAATGGGCGGCAAGCCCCACCATAGGCCCAAGGTCAACAGAATCAAGGCCCACCCAAGGGAGGAAATGTGACCCAGAAGCTCCAACCCCTTGCCCCTAAGGCCCCAAACTTCTAGAACAAGGGAAAAGTTACCATTTAATCGGTTTCCACTAAAATGGACATGTGCCTACTGTTGTTGATCAAAGGATCATTCGTCAAGCGTATGCCAAGCTACCCTCGAGGCTATTGCCAAGTATCATTCTCATCGTGAGTCTAACTTTGCACATGTGGAACATTCGGAAGATGCTCCATGGAGATATCAGATTTTCAGGAGGCATCAGCTCTTATGGACAAACCCACTAGGAGTGGCCAGAGTCCCCCTATTTTTCTAGGATTATAGTTTAATTTTGGACAATTTCTAAGTATTTGGAATAATTTGTTTGGTTTTGGTTTGTTTTGAATTATGGATAATTGTTTTATGGATATTATTTCTCGAATTGATTAATTGAATGCATGGAATTATATTTTATGTGTGTGACCAATTCAATCAATTTATTTCTAGGTATGTTTAGTGGGGAAGTTAGTTGTCTGGCTGATAGTGCTATCACGCACACCATATTGCATGAGCGACACTATTTTACTAATTTTGTACCTAA